AAATGCCACACAATTCTACCTCATCATAAACCATTTCAGGCAAAAGCCACCGGTGTTACGTCTGTATTGTTGGACATGCAGTGGACGTCATCACTCGCAAATGCCGAACTGTTTCTGTATGAGGTACCATTCCACCAGAAAAGCAAAAGTTGACGGTCTTATGTAAATGTAACTTCCCTATTTTCTGAGTTTCAGACTTACAAACTGTGATAAGCTTCTATTTTAGGGTATCTCAGTGATATAACTTTTTAGAAGGGACCATATCTAAAGACATATATTTCCTTATTGATCGGCCTGACTTACGACGTCCCCAAGTTTGACCAAAGATAACATTATACAAATTGTGCAAGTGCGTCGCGCATTTGTCCTCGAGTTCATTTAATAGCATTCTTACGTCTTTGCGCAGATGCAACAGCTTTGTTGTTTTTTGGTTGCTTAAATTTCTGCAAATCGAGGTGTGGTTGCTCGCAGTGACACAAAAAGGTAGTTTGAGAATCGGCCCCGACTTAAAACGGGTAAACTGCCCCATCTGGAACAATAAAACTGACTCTCGACAATTGACTAATTTATTTTCTTCTATCTGAGACCCATATAGTTCTCCTTTGCTGGAAAATGATACAATTTAGTAAAATAGGTCTAGTTACTTAACTTAACAGTCACTGGATGATTTGCAATCAGAATAGCCAATTAGGTCACATGCACATCGAAATCTCAATTCCAGTGCAGTTTTGCATATTTTGTTTTCGTTTTCGGATAATTTTTTTCTATTCGGTAGATAATTAGGTCATTGTTCATTAAGCAGCCTGAGTCGACGGCTAAATTACTCCAAACGTTTTCAAGCGCTTATCAATATGAAATCGTCTAATCGAGCTTGAGAAACCGTAAAACACAAAGCCAAGTTAGTCCTTACGTGGATGCCGGCTGGCCTCGCTTTGGAACGCCTAAGGGGGAGGGAATGTCATCTCTATAAGACCCCGCAGTGATTACCCATGAGGGAAGGTGTTTAATAGAACGAAAACAGGCGAAACTTGCTTAATCGTAGTATCTATAAACTGCCGGTGTTTCTGGAATTTTTGCCTCAAAAAACTCACAGTTTACTGAAGGGTAGATATCACTGTGCAGAAACTTACCCACCCGATTGCTCTGAGTCAACAGACTGCCGCACTTAGTATACTTACTCTGGGTAACTCAAAAAGGTCCAAACGCATCTCAAAATTTTCTTCTTTCTGATGTTTTTGACAAGAACATGCCCTTCACTCGTCGCTATGTATGAACGATTGTGATGACTTAAATAATGTAGTGCTTTTGCCCAATTATTTGATGGACACCAATCGGTGTGCCCCGAGAATAACACTTAAATCAATTTCCAACCCTGGCAGACCAAGTATCGTCAACTTCCCTATCATCGAGTCACGCCTCACCGGCGCTCTTGTGCATAGGCGATTTGACTAACCTCACGTCTGAAGATGAACAGAAGCAGAGAAAAAAGCCCGGAGGCGCGGAAGCCAGTGAAGGGATTACGAGCCACCATGAAGAATCGGACGCCTACAGTGAGGACTTCGAGTCTGAGAACGAGGCAGAGGTACTCGATGAACGGAAGTCACCCGGAGTGTCGCCCAGTCCCTCGTCGACTTTGACGCAGCCCAAGAACCACAATATCCGAAGTGTGAAACAAATGACTGAGGGTAGGCTGACATATTTAGTAGAAGTGTCTTTACGACTGTCCGTATTGACACGAACTGACTGCTCATCGTTTAAGTTATTTTACAGGTGCTACTTAACAGGTAGTAGTAACATTTATTTTAATACTTAGAGAATATACGCCATATTATGAAATGTAAACGGAACTTCTGAATTAGGTTCGATTATTAAAAATAAAAAGGATTTAATATTTATTATTGTGAGCGTCCATGGCAGGCATCGATTGAACGGGCATTTTTTTCGTTTTTAGAAACGTCTTACCACTCACATTCTTCGTTATCCTCGCGGAGGCACAAAAGCCGCACACCAAGTTCATCTTCTACCGAGTACTCTTATCGTAAATGGAGAAGGAACAGGCGATCAAAGCAGACGGAGCAGCCATCAAAACGGCAAGATTTTTTAGCTTTCCCTAAAGCATGTATTTCTCACATATTCTGGGCATTAGTGCCGTTTGGGACATTATCGGACTTATTTTATAGGTGTGCCTTTTCGGCATTCTTCTTGTTCATATACAATCAGCTCCGGCGCGAGAGAGCTATCTAATGATTGCACGTAGTTAGACACATCAGGTGGTTGCCTGCAAAGAATCATGTTCTACCCATCTAGCCAGTTGGCTTGACTTTCCTTATATGCAGTCGCGCATCCCTGGTATAGAGGTAAATGCATAGAGTCAAACGCTAGAAAAAGTAGGAACGGAGTATTTGGCTGACCGTTTTCCCCAAGATACATGTAAACTCTGTGCATAGCTCATGAGTTCAATCACCACGTAACTGTAACGACCTAATGGCCGATTACTGAAGACGTATGTTTTCCAATTGACTTTTCAATGGTGGATTTACCCAAAATTCTGTAATTCCATTTAACGCAGCTGTGAAAAACTCGGCGACTTCGTTGGGATTTTAACCAATGGGAGCAAGGATAGGACTTGAGCGCAGCCGACGCTCTAACCACCTGGCCTACGAAGTCTCACTGGGTCAAATTACCCGTCAAATGTGACCATCGCTGTCGAATCCTTTTGAGTCCGCCAAGTTTTTCGCAATCTGGTCAAATGAGATAGAAGGATGAAACTGAAAATTAAAATGCTATAGGATTTCTAAACAAATTCAACGAGCCCGGTCGTTAGCTCGTCGATCTTAGGTTTATTGCTTATGAAATACTCCTCGAGCAGTCAGCTTACTGTATCATAAATGGTTGATCTCCGCGAGATGCAGCAGACTTAGCGGCTAACTCGATCCAAATGGACTTAGACTCATGGCTGCCGTTGGGGTCTCGTAGCTCAGGCAGTTAGAGCGTTAGCTGTGTTCAATCCGTATACCCACGGTCGTTGATTCAAATCCTACATAGGTCACCTAGTTTTTCACAATAAGGTCGAATTAATTATTCAAATTAGCTAAAAGTATATTCATTCTGCCCATCTTCGGAAATAAAAGCCAAGGAAAACGAACCTTCTCTAGGACGCTCTTGCGTTCCCACGTTGTTTGCAAGACCGATCTACATTTACAGCTCTTTTAGCTGGGCTGGCGTTCGAACGTCAGGCCCTGTTGACTTCCGGATATAATCGAAAGCCATTTGGTGTTCACCTTGTAAACTGTGGGCCTGCTTCCGTCCCGCTACTAGTTCATGTTCTTTTCCCATATTTTTAATTGTCCTCTCACAGTTTCGGTCACTAACTTCAATTATGTAGATACTGGTTTAGTACGAGTAATTGGAGCCCCCAAACTGAATTATCTCAAATCTTGTACTGTGTCAGGAGCCTCTGAGCCACCCAAAAACATGCTATGGTCCACCGACGCTTGCCTGAAGTAACTCTCTGCTGTTGGCCTATACACTTGAGGATCGGCTGTTGCACAGAGTCATGTAACTAGTTATTTATATCAGAAAAATTAAGTGCCATAACTGACTGACTAAGTATGAGAAGCAGAATGAGGATGTTTTAACTATGCTGGAAGATAGAAGTCAGTCAGTAGGTGATCCTCAGGGCTAAATACTTATCTCAACCTCGGCCTCCAGATGTCACCTAGTACGATCTGGTTGTGAACTACCCTGTTCCAATGGCTGTATTAATGTTGACCAGACTGGCTGTTAGTCGTCTACAATTCCACAGATTTTAAAGCTGTTCCAAAGAATTTTAAAGGTGGTGGGTCATTTCTAAGTTTTCGGCATCAAACTTTAACGCTCTACGATAAACTTTAAGAAGCCGACCCATATAACACCGTTAGGTCCCGCTGACAGTGAGCTTTTGGTGTGTAGTTTATAGGTCGTCTCTGGTCGACACGGTTGTAGGCTTGATTCAGGGCATAGATAGTGCAAATTTCAATCTAATGTCCGCCACAGATGCACCACAGATGACCTCCGATGCTCTTTTACACAGGTTCAAGAATGCAGAGACATCTACAGTGGACGCAGCTTTGCGTGGACCTCCTTGCTGGCAAGCATGGCAGTCTGCGGAGACCCGTTTGTGGGACCAATCAGCGTTCGTAGCTGCGGTCAGCGCAGCTGTTAATCAGATTTCAGCGGCGCGAACAGAAGCGAAACCGGTGTCCCAAGCCTTTTTACCAACGACTGTGCTTGAACGTGAGTCAGTTGTATGTGTCACGTTTCATTGCTTGCGGCTCTTTGTATCCTCGCAGATATTTTCTATAATTTCATAAGTCTTCTTCGGTACTTGATAATTTTTGCGAACAACCAGTGCGAGAATTCACCTTGCATGGCCTGGATGTCGAAATGCTGACCAAGTACCAAGGTCAGGGATCAATGTACAATCGGGGGCCAGTGTTGCATAGCTAGTT